ACACAATAAGTACAACTTAGGATTTAACACAAAATTCGGAACACGCACGTCGTTGACGAATGGCTGTTCTTGAATCCCAGTCCGTTCGCATGTGGAGTGTTGAGCATCGGCGATGACGGTGCAGACATGTCAGATAGAAAAGCGCTCTGATGGTTTCGGGCGATGTGCGCCTCTTCGGCATCTGATAACGAGTTGCTRCGATTCTTTTTGGATCGTGAGAACGCCTTGCTAAACGAGCTGCGCAGCTATAATTTTCATTTGAACAATATAACGTATACAAGTTATTACAAATTATATTATGCACCAGTTGCTGTTAATTTTTGTAGTTCAAAATCGGATAGTGTCAAAGCAAAACAGAAAAACCAATCACGAAAATTTGCACATGGGCTATGGATATAAAAATATGTTATGTATGTGTTACTGTGTTGGGAAAGTTAATTTTTAAAAGGGTCTAGGTCCACGTTCATCGTTCATTTATAGATATAAGAACTCGTTTCAGATCCTTGTCGCCTATTCAAAGAAACTCGTTCCAAAAAATAATTTTTTAATTAAATAAAAAAATTCGTTAATTTTCTCCTTAATTTTGGAGGGGAACAGTTTCGAGTTTCGTTTCCACAAAAATGAATATGTAATGTTAAAAACAAAATTGCAGCAATGTACAGAAATACTGGTTTTTCTTTCTTTCTTTTAGCACTAATCAATCGATTAAAATCTAGTCATCATACGGATATGTTTGGTCGTACCCATCCTCTTTTCTTCTTCTTGTCGGCCTCGGACTGCTGTGCCGAACTGGACGCGCTGCACGCCGACGACAGGGAATTCAAACTCGAAACCGAATCTGTCGACAGTTGACGTGAAATGTTATTACCTAAAGACGACAGACGGGGATGTGTTACTGTAGGCGCTGATGATCGAATTTGGTGGGTCGGCGCGAATCACCGAAAGAACGAGCAATAAATTATTACTTACCAGTACTAGAATCGGCGACGGAATTGATAGTGTGCCGCCTTTGGTGGTTGTTGCCGCCGCCGTTCGCATGGTTTCCCGAATCGGTGGCGCCTTGTTTCCTCAACATCTCGACGGTTTGACGCAGTTCGTGCAGCTCGTGATCCTAAACGGAAATAAGCAGACGGTCCACGATTAATAGTAGTCAACGGTTAACGTATTTTTTTTCGTTTTATTGTTTGAATATTACATTTGTCAGAATTTATCGCAAAGGTTTACAATATTTTGATGGAATTTAATGTTTACCTTTTTCTCGGCCGTGGCGGTCAACTGTTGCAGCCTCTGAGTCATGTTCGATAAAGACTGCTCGAATGCAGACACCACGTGAGCCTAGAACAAACAACAAATAACGATAATGTCGATAATGATTCAAAAAAATAAATCTGAAATCAAAATGCCTTAACTATCGCAAACCCGATCACGGCTTGAGACATGAACAATACATCCCTTATCTGTGGTAATTACACCACCGACAATATGAATATTAAGCAAGCGCGTTTAACGAAAATCATAAAATGAGTTGTAACAATTTTATTTATTACCTAATAAATATATAGTAATAATATATCGATCAATTAATTTTATTTATTTTTATACTTCTGCGTATTATGAAATCGAAAATTGATGAACGTGTATGAAAAATCTATATATACAATTTCAATAGACTGTATTCATACACAATGTGCCCATATGGTCATATCGCAATTCACAAATAATGATTCTGTGTATCAATAATTGATAGTAAAATACGTAGTAAATGTGGGAAAGTTAATAGGAACTGAAAATAAATAAGCATCCAGTATAATAGTCGACAGTACATTATTATGAATGTACCTGTAATTTAGTAGCTAAAGATTATTATCAACGATATGTAAACAATAACATAATACAATATTACACGTAAATACGAATACCTACAGTATTGTCATAAAATGACAGAAAATGTATTTAAATAATATTTTACAAATAAATTACGATCATAATAAATAATACAACAATCGCAGGAATTCGAAAAACAAATTTTTCAGTTACTTAAAACTAAAACTAAAAAAAAAAAAAAATGATATTTTTGTACATTTACCGTTATACGGTAACATATAGGAATTTAGACTTCTATACACACAATCGTAGAAATATTACATTCGAAATCATCGTTTAGMTGAAAACAACGATCGATGGGTTTTAGATTATTATTCGCTCTAGTTGCATTCCGTATTTCCGTTTCGACGTGAACTATCTATTATTACGCATTGTCAGATGACGATGGTTTTATTTTTTATTATTATTTTAAATTTATGGTGTCGAATGTATAGARTGAATAATTCAAAAAATATAATATAGGTCAGAAAGTACTCCGAACTACAATAATGCATATAATATTATTTCACATTGATACTGCAGCAGCCAGTGGCAGTCGTAAGATGAGTCGAGGAAAACGAATTGATTGTCGTTCGCCTTCGTACCCAACCTCGGTTAGCGAATTACCAGTAAAGTGACTTTAGTTATTAGCGGTCGGCGGTCATTATACCAGTTGATTTCATTTATACTCATCCGTTGCCTTGTCAAATCGTAACACCCTATAACACAACCATTTTTCAAATATCAACACTACTTTCTGGACACAGACCACAGTTGTTTACGTCGAGCTGACAACTTTTATCCAGTACAACTACGTCACGCACAATATGACAATGATCGTTTAATCCGTCAACGTAGAACAGAAACACAACGATGTACTTGTATTCCGTGTMTTTTATAAGTTAAAATTATTGTCATTCTGACGTTTAAACCGATAAAAAGGCATTGCGGACAAACACAATCAATGCGATTAAGTAAATAAATAAACGATCCCGTCAGAAGGAAATCATTCAAATTCAGGCCAATAAAATGCATTGTCACATATTATGGAAGATTTCAATTCTGGATGCATTGTGTAAAACTATGCGTCATTCGTTCAAATATTGTTACACACTTATGCCGTACACAGAGCAATTGCGGAGTCGAACAATATATAATTTGAGATTATACAGAAAGATAGACCGTGGTATTTGTCGTGTAAATATATTATGCGAAATAAGTAGTGACTAAATTATATTGTGATATGGAATTGATTCGATTGACTTAACAAAGCAATAATATGAAATWCAAAATTTGGGTTTACCGGTACTTGGTATATTTTACTGTTACGATAGCACACGGTCGTGAGTGTAAGAGTAAAATAAA